CCAAGGTCAAAGGTTTCTGTGTGATCCAGAAAAGGCATCTCAGCTTTACTTACAGCCATGAGGAATGGTGGTAGAGGGGGCTTTTGGCCTCAGGCAGTTGAGTTCTGTCTTGATCATACTTAGAATGACTAAAAGAACTACTCCTCTACCAGAGAAGAAAATCAACTGTGAAAGAACAAAAACCCAAAACCAAAAACAAACGAATGAACAATCAAAAAAACAAACCAGGATGGAGAGAACGAAGGAGGGCAGTAGAGAGGAGACCAAATAGTAAATGTGCAAAAATTTCATACACATGGAAAAAGTTAAAAATAAAAGTACGAAAACACGCTAAGTGGTTACTTAAATCAAGTCCACTGATGACTCCACTAGAGCAATGGTCCAAGGGTCCACAAGCATTTGCTCCTATGACACAGTATTTCCGCTCCATCTTCAGATGCTTAAGACGGCCATCAACACATAAAGCAAGAAGAGGGGAACAAAGTTAACCCTGACAAAGACAAGCGAAGTCATCAAGTGATAGAGTTGCAAAAAATCTTGATGACTTTATGTGCCCTGAAACACAGTAAAATGTTGTCTTTGGTGTGATTACGGGAACTAAAGCCTGGTTGGGCGGGGGTCAATCTTCCTTCCGGCTCCAGAAATCTGTGACACGAGTGGAAAACTGGCTCAAACACATACAGGCTCCAGGACACAAAGAAATATTCAAGGAAGAAAACAGGGAATTGTACAACATGCACACTCTCAGATCGTTATGTGATAATTTTAGCAATAAATCAAAGCATAATTATAGTGCCAACCTCACAGAAACTTTAAAAAGCAATCTTTTTGAATAACATTTGAAATGAGTTAAACAGCTACATAGAGAATGGGCGAGAATATTTATCTTAGCCATGGAAAGGATGTGAATTAGGAAAAATACCCTGTCAATCAAATTAGCATTTTTTCTACACCCCCCCCACAATCAAGACAGTAAGAAGGTAGTGAAATAAGATAAACATCCAACCAATTGATTTATACTCTCTCTCTCTCTCTCTCTCTCTCTCTCTCTCTCACACACACACACACACACAGACACACATACACACAAGAGAGAGAGAGAGAGAGAGAGAGAGAGCAGCTTCCTGCCATCCCATCACAAAGGAAGAGAGCCCTAAGCCTTGAGGAACAACCTTAGTATAGCACAGAGTACTCCATGCGCGCCTCAGAACAGTTTGAAAACCACTTCAATGGTCAGTGGGTTGACTCAGCGTCACTGTGTTATTCAGCAGCTGCTTAATCCAAGACACAGAAAACCCGGAAACCAATGTACCAATGTGCTAAGAGCTAACAGGAAAGGTCGGGGAGTGACTTTGGAATCTGGTGGGGACAGTGGGCAGACATGGTCAACCATCATGGGCATTGGGAAGATGTTTAGTTGACAAGGACTGTGAAACATGATGCTGGGAAGCGCCAGTCTTGGTCTACGTGGTAGGTTTCACTCAAACCTTGCCTTGTACCAACGGACACTGGTGAATCATAAACCTTCCTGGAGTCTGCCAGGCAGACCGTCTGTATTATTTTAGGGCCTCTAAAAACCACCACAACTGAGGAAAAGGGGTGCAGTGTCTAACTGGGGGTCAATTCTTCCTACAAAAAGGGCTTCAAAGGAAGAAAAGGCATAGTGGACAGTTCTAAGGGTTAGCTTGCCACTTCGCCTCCAGCTGAGTAACGTTCAACCCAGCAGAGAAGCTCTCTGAGCCTCGGGACCCACCCCCTACACACACAAAGGAGCATGTAGCCAGTACTACAGGATTTCTGTAAGAGTTGAACGCAGAGATACATGCTGTGTTCAGCCCTCAGAGGACAATTAAGTGACCCCCATATTCATGGAAACAGATGGAAGTCTCAAGAAGGTGCATGGGACATCGCATTAAAGGAAAGAAAAGAAGAGAATGGTGTGTGCTCAGCGGTGAAAAAGTGTGGGGGCCAGAAGAGTTGAAAGAAGGCATCTCCCTATCTCAGGAAGAAGTGTGCGTGCAAACAGGAAATATGCCAGCCTCCGAGGTGACCGAGAATCCTGTGTGAACTCAGCTACAGTGACCTGCAGCATCAAGAGGCTGCAAAAGTAGGCAACGCTTCCCATCTTCCAATCCCAAGGGCAGGAAGCCCAGAATGCTCTCTCCTGTATCCCAAGGTCATCTGGGGCCTGTCAGTCCTCACAGCTGTCTGGTCAGCATGGTAGCATCTGAATGGTGTCCTGGGAATGCTTGTGGTAGGGTTGCTTGCTCCAGGGTCCAGTTGCCCCCCAAAGTCCTGTACCCCAAGTTATACTCATTTTTACTTGTGGTCTGATCTCTGGTCCACTAACTGCCAGTGTCCTTCATCCCCCAAGGAGAGGTGATCAATAAAAGAGAAGCAGATGTGGTCAGACATTAAGACCAAGAACCCAGAGTTTAATTAGGCATCTAAAGCCACACCCCTCGGGGGGGTTGGATGCAATGGGAGGAGTGTTGAAGACGCAGTATTAGAAAAATGTCTGACAATTCAGAAGGAAACAGGGCTGGAGTGAGGAATAGGGAAGGGGAAAACAGTGGTGGCGGGGAGGGGAGACCAGAGTGCCAGGGGAAAGGAAACATGTCCTTCTGACAGGTGCGTCTTGTCATTAGCTGGCCTGGGTGCTGGCAGTGTCCCTTCCCACAAACTGAAGAGGTCACACAGCAATCATCTTCTTTCTCTCTATGGTTTGAAGGGGCAGGACTGATGCCGGTCACCTCACAGGACTCTCCTGTGTTTTGGAGACTCCAGGTAATGGGTTTAATGAGAGTAAGTTAAAAGAACCATGAGAGTCATGTCGATTTTAATAACAGAGCAAAAAGCGACAGCAAGAGGGGACCAGCAAGGACAGAATGGCAGTAAGCTCATATATGGGAAGATCGTAGGAATGAGAAGCCCTAGAGCCACAAGGGAGAAAAGAGGGACATTTCCTTTGTTATAACAGGGCGGTTTTCCCTTAGAGAGACAAGAAAACATTGAATTTAGCAATGGAAAATTGCTATGGCTATTAGACCAGTCTTCTTCAAAAGGAGCATTACACAGGACCTCAAGAATTATTTGGGTTGCAGTCACATCAAATCCACTACTTCCCAGAGAAAAAGCATAGAAAGGAAGAGATAACAAACTAGAATTCAGAAAAAGAAGAAAAGTCACCGGATTTCTGAACTTAAAGAAGTCATTCTGATACAACCGGCTCAGGTGAACGCAGGAAATAACTGGAATGAGGGTAGTGAGATCTAGAACTATGTCCTGGACAGGACTCTGATGCCATGGCCCTGAACATTTCCAGGTAGGAAATGAGAAGCTGATGAGATCCCAGGCTTCTGCGAATGGCCAGTCTGAGCTTCCCTGTGGAATCTTAGGCAGCGCGTGTCTCAGAGGAATGAGCTGCTTGCCCTCCCTTGTGTGAGCATAGACTCTCACTGACTGCTCCCAGCTCCCATGTTCCCCACAGCTGTGGTTCCTCAGCTAGAACTCTAAGGTGCCCCTGCCACTGTTCCCACAGAAAAGCATCTTAAAGCGCAGCAGAACGGCTGTGCCGGGAAATGGACAGCTGAACCTCCCCTCGCGGGATCTGGGTGGGGAATGATGTTCTAAGCCCAGGCAGGAGGGAAGAAAGCACTCAGGAAAACCCCAAAACGTTCAACTCCAGAAATGAAAATCGTTCCTCTTTCTCAGCGTCAAACAGTGGACCTCCGGGAAGAAAGACAGAATGACAGGGACCGTTTAGCATAAGGCGCTTGAGAACAGCTGTCGGGTGTGTTAGTCAGGTGGGTCCTTTCTGCCTTGCCATTTGGTGGGCCAGCTGAACGTATACGTTCGTGGCTACTCTCCGGATGTCTTTCTTGGCTGATTAGGTCTACGGCTTGAGGCTTCAGTGTGAGGTCCCCCCCCCGCAGCAGAATGTGTACATAACATCTCAAGGTGGCTTGCCTGTCATCCGTGTCTCAGGCAAGCTACTCTAGAAAGTGCAGGGATCCTGGCTGCTGAGAATCCATCATGCAGCGGCTGCCCTGAGCTCCTGCAGCGACTTCTGTGCCCTTCCTTTCCTCTTCCGACCTTTCAGAGTCCCTCTTACCACACAGGCCTCTTTCCCCGGGACTTCTGCATTATTTTCTCCCAATCGTTCATTACTCAACTAGACTTCAATGTGAGCACTCTTGGGAGTGTGCCACACAAATCCATTTCCCACCTCATTCTGCAAGACAATAACAGTATCACTTGACGGTAGCCCGCCACACCGTTCTCAGAATTCGCAGCGGCTCAGCTGCCTCCTGGTAAATGCTAACTTCTTACTCGCTCCTGCTCCATCTCCTCAGTCGCCCGACCTCCCTAGCAGTCCTTCCTCTAGTTCAAGCCCAGCCAGCTCGGGGACTTCTGGATGCAAGCCGCCTATGTTCTAGAATACATTGGACGCCCCTTTAATCCCTAAACTCCATTCGACGCAAACCGGCCAGATCCAAGGTCATTTTCCTCTTGGTTCTATGAGTTCCATTTTATGCTTCTGCCTCTTCCCAATTTGGAATTCGAAGCGTCTCTCTGTAAGTTTGAAATCATGGGCTTTCCTTTGAGTAGTGGCTTGTGCATAGTCAACACTCTCGAAATGTTCCAAGCTCTCTAGCTCTGTGTAGCGCTCCCCTCACCCCCACCCCCGAATTCATGAACTCAGCCCTACCTCCTAAACCAGACTGGCTGTCTCAATTTGAGGGCCGTGCTTCCTCAATTTAAGAACTATTCAAATGCTCGGGGACTGGTTAACAAAGAGCGGCTGGTTCTGGTCTGTCCAGAGGTCTGAAGTAATTTTATAACTTCCCAGGTGACGTTGGGATCCATTCGCACCTGTTGATCAGCCTCAGAGGGTTCTTTTGGTGCAATACCAGGAGCCCGGGGGCGGGGGAGAACCCCCAAGGCTGAGATGCTCGGTCAGAGAGTAGAGTCATCTAGTGACCAGTCGGCTCACTTACCTATGGTGGACACCACAGTGCCCACGAAGTAGAAGGCTCCGGTGAAGTCCCAGCGAGGGCGCACGCTGTCTATGCGGATGCCCGCCTTGGTGGCTTCCTCATAGTGACGGAGGAAGCCTCGCAGCTCTTCGCGGCTCAGGTTGTGGCCGCGGCTGAAGTTGGCCAGGCGCTCCTCCCAGCGCTGCTTGGCCTGCAGCTCGTGAGCCAGCTCCAGCGCCGAGAATACAGCGGCGCCGCCCAGCAGGTAGAGCAGGATGAGCCCTGCGAGCAGCAGGAAGCGCGCGTTGTCCTCATTCAGGTGACCCGGGCCACAGCCACAACTGCGGCCGGCCATGGCACTGAAAGACAACCCCGCGAGGGCCACCGCCCGCGGTCTCGTGCCCACGCCCTTTACCGGTCCTTAGCCTGCTCCGCGTGCCGGCTCGCCCATGCCCTCAGCGCGCTCCCCCAGGCAGCGTGGATCTCCAGGCAGCTGCTCTACTGTCCCTGTGGCACCAGATCCGCACGTCTGCCTGGACTCGTGGTTTCGAATCCGCTTTGTACCCACCGCCTCCCAGTCCGCCCTGGAGTTCTCCTTAAGGCCGAAGATCAGAGCTTTGGGCGCAGAGTCTGCTTTGGCTCGGTAAGAGGGTGCGGGCGCCTGGGATTCACCGGGCCTCCTGATCCTGCTCAGATTGGGGAGGGGGCGTGGCGCGCCTTCAAGGCAAACTCCAGAGAACTTGAACTCATCTTGAAGAAAAGGCCGTGGGTTCAGACAGCATCGGTGGATAAGCTGTGCATCAAGGTCCGGGTTCCTTGGACCATCGCTTTCCAAGCTGTGTCCGCTGTCTTCCGTGCCTCTTCGGATGCATCTGCGGTGCGTATTAGCGACTGTCCCGCCGAGCCTCTATCCTCCTGACGCACCAGGACTTAGAGGCTGGAACCGGTTTGGACCAAGAACGGACGCAGGGACAGGGCGGAGAAGCAGACCTGCCACCGACTTGGATGTCGCCCGGGCACACAGGCTCCGCGGCAGCACGAGGGCGGACCGCTGTGGGGAGGAGAGCAGAGGGGGAGGTTGGAACAGTGAAGGAAGTTAGGAGCATCCTCCCAGGCAACCTTCCTCGACTTTCCCCTAATGAGAGCTCCCTCGACCTCTAGGCCCTTCACAGGGCGTTTTCTGTCGCCACGTGCAGGCCCTGCCAGCCCATCTTTCAGAGAACCGGCAAAGGACAGCGACCAGGAGGGTTCCATCTCTTCTACTCGGCCTTGACTCACTTGGCTCTGTAGTTCTTGCGCAGCCAAGAGCTCAGCTCCCAGAGCTCCTATCTACCGCACGCAAGACAGCAGCAAGGCTTTCTGGCGAACCGCTGGGGAACCCACCCAGAGACCCCAACTTGCAACCGGCGCAGGAGACGTCACTGCGTTCGGGTTCCCCTCCAAACGCACCTGTTCTGTGGGATAGGTTCAGAATGATCCCTGGCTCCCCTTTCTCAAGCGGCCCTGCCCTGCCCAGTGGGTCTGGGAGCAGAGGTCCGTGCCCAGTGCTGCCTTCTCTGTGGGGCGTGCTAACATTGCAACAGGTGTAGCCCTGCCGCTGTCATCCGCGGCGACACCACCCCGTGTCCGCCTCTCGGCCCCAGGGCCAGTCTCTTGCAGCGCTCGCCAGAAGCTCTGAAGGCCAACCTCGGAGCAGCGATGATGCTCACCCCCGGGTGTACAGATCCCTGGAGTGGTTGCTTCAAGAGCAAGGTCGAGAGCCTCAATGGTCTGCGTGGGTACGTCAGAGGCCAGAAGAGGGCGCTGCGTGCCCTTTAGACTCACCTGGTCCCCAGCAGGTTATTCATTAGCACACTGATATCCGCACAGGGGAGCGGATCTATCTGTGTGAAAGAATGGATTCACAGCCACCCGCGATCTAAATAGAGTTTCTCCGCCTATGGAGAGAGTGGTCCCAGGAGACCCACCCACGATACTCGCCAGAAACAGAACTAGAAAGACTTGCAGTTCTGTTGAGTAGATGCAAATGATTTTGATGAAAGTAACTCTGGCGATTGATTCATTTTGCCTGTCTCCTGGGGAGGAAGAACTTTAGAGGCGACTGAGCACACACCCAGGGTGAGTATCCCAATTACCTTTGACAGTTCAGGAAACATTTCAAGTACATCAAAATTGAATGATTTTTCATAATGACGCCACACACCAACACCTAGATTTACTAGTGACAGTTCACTAGACTTGATAGTAAACCTCTGTCCCTTTTAAGACATCAATTCATTTGGTTAGGATGTGTTTTGAAAGGTTGTAGACATCCACACACTTTCACCCCATCTCCGCCCACAGCTGGTCATTATTATGAGTTCCATACTCAGATTTTTGCTTTTGCGGTAAAATTTGCATCCAGTAACATGAAAATGTACCCTTAGACGAGTTCTGACAAATATGTACATCTTTGGGGGCCAAAACACAGTCTACCTCCTTCATCATCTAAGTGCCAGCAAAGCTCCCACAAATATCTTCCCAGCACATCCTCACCCACAGTCCTGCGGAGGTAACCACGGGTCTGATTTTTTTTTCTACCATGGATTATTTCTTCTTTATAGAACTCGGTTTTCCCTATCTGGGTCTCCAGACTCACGGGAACCGCAATCATGTGTCTTGTGTAAAGTGTGTTTCTGAAGCATATCCATGTTATATGTGACAGTGATCGTTTTATTGGCTCTTCATCGTTTGGCTATGCCAAAACTTTATTCATGCTTTGTGACAGAAACAAGGAAAGTGAGAAAATTTCATTATCATAAATGAAACTGTTAGGAAACATGAATTCAATTAAAAAATAAAACTGCTATTGACATTCCTGTCAAGGGTTTGTGGATGCTCCTCATCTTTGGGGCAAAGGCCTAGCAGTGAAGTGCCAAGCCATAGGTGAAGATGCATTTAGCTCTGTGAGAAACTGCGCTACTAACAATGCAGCGCCCATATCCCTCGAGCTGCTTGGCAGTGCCAGCCATTTTAGTTTTAAGACCACTGTATCACATAAACTTATCTCATTGAGGTTTTGTGTTTTCTGGATACCTAGTACACTGGACATTTATATCCCTTTGGTTGGAAGAGTTTTCCCACTTTAAAAAAAAAATGGTCTTGGGGCTGGGAAGATGGTCGGTCTGTAAAGTGCTCATCACACAGGCGACCAGCGTTCAGATCTCCAACACACACAGAGAAAGAAGAGCATGGTGGCCGATATGTGAAATCCCAGCACTCCTGGGCAGGTGGGGACAGGTGGCGCTGACTAGTCACCCAGTCTTCCCAGCCAGATCAGTGAGCTCCAGGTTCAGTTAAAGCCCCTGCCTCAAAACAAACAAACCAACAAACCAACAACATAAAGAGCAACTCTGACGCCCAGTGTTGAACTCTGGCTTCCACATGCACACATGTGTATACACATACAACACACATGCATGCACATACACAAAAATTGATTCCTATTTTTGAGGTGTAGTGTTTTATATATCTAGAATACTAGTCCTTTCTTAGACATGCATTTTGAATATTATGTTTTTTATCTCTGGCATGCCCATTTGATTCTGAAAACGTTTTCTGACAGAGTTTTTAGTTCTGCTAAAGTCCAGTTCTCCAGTCTGCAAGGCTTGAGACCCCTTCGTGCATTAAGGAATTATCGCTGCTTTGAAGGTTAGTATTCTGTCTCTCTCCTCCAGTGTGCACAGCTGCTCTCTGCGGTGTAGAGCTAGCTCGTTTCTTTACTATGCAAGTCAGACTTAGGTTCATCTTGTTCAAAAGGATATCCACCCTTTTCTATGCCACTTATTGAGATGGAAAGCAGGAATGCATTTACTTCAGGAATGTTTTATTTTGTCCATTACCTATTTATTCAGCCATTATGCCAGTAAAAAGCATTTAAATTGTTTTATAGGTCTTCAAGTCAGAAATGCAAGGTTTCCAACTTAGCTCTTTTTCAGTATTTCTTAGCAGGCAATAAGCTGTTTCCATTTTAAAAATCAAAGAACTATGGTTCTTGAGACAGATATGTTTAACACAGACACAGAAAAAGCCTATGTTGTCTTGATCAGTACTATGTGAACCTGTCTTGGGAAGAAGCAGTATTCTGATGATTCATGAATGAGGCCTATCTCTGCACATATATACATCTCCCTAGTTGTTACAGTACATAGATCTTGCATTATCATTTTTGGATTTATCCTAAAGCATTATTTTTGTCCTTGATTGTACTGAACACAGAAATTCAAATGTTTCATCTTTTCATGTTTGCTGTTGTATCCTGTAAGCTTGCTGTGTTCATTCATTAGTTGTAGTGGTCCTTCAGGAGTTTCTATGTACTGAAGTAGAGGTTTGCTTTCTTAACTTTAAAAAATAGATGTCTTATTGCAATATCCAAGAAATAAAAGACACAGACGAGCTGGGAGCAGGTTATTCTTGCTAGGATTTAAGAGTGAATCCTTCAGTTTATTACAGATACTGTGAGTTGTAGGGTTGTCATAGATTCCTCACCCTACCCCCAAGAAAGGGTTTCTCTATATGGCTGTCCTGGAAGATCAGGCTGGCCTTGAATTCAGAGATCCTCCTGCCTTTGCCTCCCGAGTCCTGGATTAAAGGTCTGCACCACCATTACCTGGTCATAGTTGCTTTTGGAGGGTGGAGACATTTCTCTTTATTTCTAGGGTTTTGTTTTTGTTTTCTAGTTTGTTTTTAAAAAATCAGAGATGATTGTTGAATTTTGTCAATGCTTTTTGTGTTATTTATAATAATCTTACAGCTTTTCTTTGTTCTGTTAGTACGTTGTAGTCCATCAATTTATTTTTAGTTAAGGATAAACTTTAAAAAGGATGAACATTTATAGTATGGCATTTTTGAGATGAATTCTACTTGGTTTTGTACTGCATATTTATTTTTCTACTTCTCCTTGGATTTCTCCCCCACCCCAACCACATGCTTATGGCATGTGGCAAGATTTTAGGCCTTTATTTAAAAAGGATTTTAATATTCATAGTGCATATAATGTTTGGGGCAAACCGACTCCCATTCCCTTCCTCCCCCCCCAATTTCTCCCCAATTGCTCCACTACCTTTCTCTTCCAACTTCATGTGTTCTTAAACACACACACACACACACACACACACACACACACACACACAGAGAGAGAGAGAGAGAGAGAGAGAGAGAGAGAGAGAGAGAGAGGCAGACAGACAGAGAAAGAATACCACGCTTGTATATGAATGGCCTGGGACCATACACTAGAGGATGAGTAGCCTCAGGACTCCATCCTGAAGAAAACCGACTTTCCTTCCCTTAGCAATTGTCAATAGCTCCTCGGAGAGGGGTGGAACTTTATGAGCCCCCTTTCATCCATGCTGGGATTCTGGCTGGCTTGGTCTTGTGCAAGTCTTGTGCACGTGGTCCCAGGTGAGACACCATGTTTGGCAAATGCTGTTTTGCTACAGACATCTTTTCCCTCTGGCTCTTGAAACCATCGTGCCCCTCTTCTGTGACGGATTCGTTCTCACTAACATTTCTTCTCCTCTAAAGCTGTGAGTTTTCCTGGTCAATGCCCCTTGCACTATAACAATTTTAGAGGAAGTTATATTTTCATAATCTCTTGCAAAAATAATTGTTTTTCTTTGGCTTGTGACTCATATACAAATATTTGCTTGATTTTCATTTTTTTTATTTCTCATGTAGTTAGAGACGTTTTAAATGATCTCGTCAGACGGAGTGAACACTAGTGAGATGCTCTGGGAAGCTCGAGCCTTCTGCAGCTGTAGGTCCTCAGGGCTCCGACTACGTCTGCCTGGTAAAAGCATCTGCAAGTGCTTTTTTAGCTCTTTTTAGTTGTTGTTCTAGCTAATTCTATGGACTGGTGAAGCAGGGGTATTTAAAGTCACCAGCTAGCCTTTGTTGTTCCAAGTATTTTGAAGCTATAAGGAAACACATACCATTTGTTCGCTATAGCCTCTTCACGTAGTGGTGTTTGGTGTGAAATGTCTGCAGCGTATACCATCTGCTTTGCAAAGGCCTTTATGTGATACCAATCCACTCACGACAGCCCTTTTATGCCTGGCATTTGCATACTATCATTTCCCATCCATTTGCTTTTATCCTGTCTCTCTTTACATATTTAGGTCCTCACCTCGACTTCTCCCCCTTCTCTAGCCACCAGCTCACTGCCACCTCTTGTCCCATGCTGACCTTAAGGAGCTTCTAAGGCTGAGCCTGGAGACGAGACGTCCCAGGCACAGAGCCCCCACTTTGGGGATGGATCCACTGCAGCAGCGGGGACTCTCAGATCTCCCTATTTTCCAGAAGCAAGCACAGGTCAGTAGTCTGGAAGCAGTGCTGAGGAAGAGCGCTGGTTTCCAGGGGGCGCGGGCTTCCTTTTCTTTGCTGGTCGTCAAGTTCTAAGGGCTCCAAAAGTTGCCTGGTCCGGGCTTGCTTACGACAGTCAGGAACAGAATCGTCACAACTTTGATGAGTTCTTGTCGCACCCAGGATACCAGTCCATCCGCTTTTGTAATCCTCCAGCTATTAGCCTTACTTTACGGACGAGAACAAGATGCAGGCATTAGGGGACTTGCCGAAGCTCTCACAGTTTGAAGGGACACAGTTAGACAACTCTAATGAGTCTCCAGGGCCTTGAAGCTGTCACCTCCAGGTGTCAACTCTCAAGCCTTAGCCGGGGTGACTGTCACTTCAGGGTGGGTGAACCAGAGAACCTAGAAAGGAATACATTTTATATGGGAATCCTGACAACACTCAGGTATATAAATAAACAACAAACTAAGTACCCAGCCTGTGCTATACATATATATATATTTTTTTTACTCCATCTCATCCAAAAGTACTGGCTGTGACTCACTGACTTGATTAAACTAACAGGGATTTCATGATTCACCATGGGTTGCGACCCCCAGTTTGAAAAATTAGTTCTAGAATGTCCAGATTATACAGGGCTCATCTATTTACGCAGCCCCCCCGCCCCTGAAAATTTGGACTTTTGAATACATCTGTAAGCTCGTACACACTCTGCAAGGAGCAGACATAAAAAGGGCCTCCAGGGCAGTGTCAGTACGTCTCCCAGACGGACGTCTTGTTTGGAATCGACTGTAATCGACCGTGCTTTCCACTGCTCCGTAGTCTCTTAGGCTCTTTCCCTCTCTACCAGGGCCACCCTGGCGTCTGGATTACATGCACCTGCAGTTTACAGAATGTCCTGGTGGCTCAAGCTGGTCCATTGGGGCACCTGGGCTTCCCTTCGGCTAGAGCTGTGTGGGGAGCAGTTTCCTTTCTCTGGAGTCTAGCTGAAGGCAGGCAGGATTCTGGGGGAATTTCAGCCTCTAGGCGGAGACAGCGTTTGTGAGAATGGCGGCCAGGTTCTAGAGCAGAGCCAAGGCCCGGACACAGTCTTCACTGCATTGCCGATCCCCTGGTTTCAGCACCCTCAGCCTTCCTTAACGTTTGCGACTAATTAACCCCATTTCTGTAACTATAGAAGGACCCTGCCTCAGGCAGCCGTTCATTAAAATACTGAAAAAAGGTTACAGAATGGCGGATAATTATATAAAGTCTCCTAAATTACAGCGGAGTCAATTATCTGAACACAAGCAGCATTCAGTTGTTATGATAATTTCTAAACCCAAGACCAGACAGCCATGCAAGGCACATACCATGACATCATCTGTGTCCTTGGGCCCAGAAAGGGATATGCGCTGGCTTGGCTGGGGCTGATCCAGCACCAGAGATGAGGCACGGCTCTTGTTCACAAGCTAGCTGGGTGACCTTGAATGTTAGGTGTTTCTCTCCAAGTGCTGAAGAGATGCTCCTGTGCCACAGTGTGGAGAGATGTATACAGTCACCTATGACCAAGCTGACCCACAGCAAATGCCTTTGCGGCCATCTTATCCCGAGCATTTTCTCACTTTGAGTATTAGAAAAGCGGTTTGGCCCAGATGCCTCCTACTTAATAAACAGCAAAAGACCTCTATGAAAACCTTGCTACAGGGTGAACGGGAGACACGGCCCCTAGCAAGTTATGCCAAATCAGTTTCAATGGGGGCGTCTCACTGTCTAAAGAGAAGAGCTGCCTTCATGCACTGCTTGGATTCTGCTTTGAGACAGACTGCTTCGAACTCTACAAGATTTGGATCATTGAGACTTAGAAAGCTTCCACCGCCATGTGCGTGTCACTGACTTTGCTAGTACCCCCGCACCTAATTTCCTGGGCTGCCTCTTGCTCTCTCTCCAGGATCTGACCTCTGATCTAATTTTTCCTACCTTGTACTTTGGTCTAGCAGGTCGGGAGAAGCAGCAGGTGTTGGTCAGAGAATATAACAGAACAAACTCACTGGTGCAGTTTTCAGCCCTCTGCACTCTAACCCAAGCGGAGCCTGCTCGGCAGGAAGCTGGGCTGCCTTAAATTATTCAGCGACTCAGGCCTGCATACTAATGTGGCATTTAGTGTTTGGGTTTATGTGCTGCTAGCTGGTTCTGCCATGCCAACCGTCATTTGTTATTACAGTGGATGAAAGCACACGGTTTTGTATCTATAGTTACATCCCAGGTATACAAAGCCTGTTCCTGGCTGGAGCATGGGACACTCACCACAGTTGTTGCCTGGCCACAGACCAGGCATGGGACCTACATTGTCTGGGTTCAAATCCCAGCTATATGATTTTGGATGAATAATCTGCTTAGTCTTTCTGCCTACGGATGAGACTCAGAGAGCCTCTTTGATAGGGTCATTAGGGAGATTGGACAGGACACAGACAACAGTTCCTAGAAGTCAGCTCAGTGGATGGCAATGCTCAGGGGACCAGTGGGCATGCCTGGGCTGTAGGATGAGCATCTGTGCCATGCTGGGTCACTACAGGCATTTCCCAGGAGCAAACGGCTTGTGTGTGAATCTTACGTGAGTCATAATGTACTAGTCGAGAGAAACATAAAAAGAAACGGTAGTTAAGCAAGCTTCCTGTGAGTCACAGGAAGGCCTTGTCTGAAAGGAAAAACAGGCAGTTTGTAATACTCTCGCACCCGAGATTATTACTTGAAATAAGCAAGCTACTATGATAATTTCCAAACACTTCAGTATGAGTGGATCTGACCTATGCATAACATGATTTTATCATATAATCAATAGAATTTTAGATTCATCCTTATAGCACAGTTAGGCTACGTTATTCCCGTCAGTGAGTTTTTATGTAGACTTGTATCATTTTGTAATTTGTATCAATCCATCGATATAACTGCCGACCTAGAAATATAAATAAGAGTGCTTATGAAAACCTCCATTTTGAGGTACTCTTCCCTCAAAGGCATGCGTTCTCAAGTTCTTTCTTGAATTCTTAAGAAAGGGATGGTGGCAGTAATTCTTTGGTGATGAAAGAAAGTCAAATGCCCTCCTGAAATCTGACTTAAAAAAGCATCTAGAGAGATGTTTCGGGGATGAGAAGCTGACTGTTCTTGTAGAGGACTGGAGTTCAGCTCCCAGCAGCCATGTCAGGCGGCTCCCAGCCACCTGTAACTCTACCTCCAAGGGCTCCAACGTCCTCTTCTGACTTCCACAGACACATAAGAAAAAAACACCACAAAAACACCTACATCATTCAGAAATGGTTTCATAGTACGGGTGTTTTTAGCCTAGAAAATCAACTTCTGGTGAAGAAAAAAAGACATGACAAAATCAGTCCCAGATTCTTATTCTAAGCACACTAGGTCTTGCGCAGAACCCATGTTTACTTGAAAGTCATACAACATTAAATTTCTGTTCGGCGAGCATCTAACATCTACCGCAGAACAGGAAGCTAGAGCTTGCCCTGCGTGGCAGGCACGGTGTGGTGCAGGATGGATGAGCTTCCATGCGGCAGGACTGAGTCTCAGGCCCACTGCTTCATGTGGGGCATCCTGCTGCTGACTTTCTTCAAGCGTAGGCTCCTCATCTGTGGCCTGAGGGCTGACAGAGGCAAAAGTGAGTTAAGCACTGGAAATAGAGGGAACCTCAGGAAACACGACCTGTTTCTGTCACGTGGAAAAACACAGCCTCCCAAGCTGTGGTTTCTTGCTCGTTCACATGTGGGAAACTCCTCTGAGCAGTCTGCTGGCGGTTACAGAGAAGCAGAAGCTGGCTGTTTCACATTGTGCGGGGTCCTCGGCAGGTAGAAAAATGTCACTGTATGGTACTTCTGAGAGGTCTCAAAGAGTGAGAGGAGGAGGGAACAATGGACAGAGTGGGTCCCTATGCTCCACACAGGCAGAAATGGCTTCTTCAGCTGGGGCAGTTGAGCCAGAACCTGTGAATAATGAGGCACAATTTCCTCAGAAACCCTAGCAGCACAGTCTAAGAACAACAACAACAAAAGGGCCCATATAGGTAAAGGTGACCATGTGTTCTCAGTTATTCTGGGGCATTACTTCCTATGCGTGCTAGCAACTGTATCTAGAAAGCACATAGGGCCAATGCTACCTGGCTGGCCGAGCTCAGACTTGCTCTTTGCAGAGCCCGTGTCTGTGACAGTGGCACAGGATAGAAGACACTTGGAGAGCAAACCTCTCGGGGACAGATGGTCTCCGATGTTACCACTGTGGTTTCTCCCAGGCCACTCTATAGAGCCTCTATTGGGTGGGCCTTCAGGGGTCCACTGGTCTGGAGGAGTGTGACCAGGGGACCTATCTATGGCAAGCAGACAAAGCAAGGCAGGGACTTGAGGATTTAAGTCTCATACCTTTTTCAGCCTGTGCATGCTGTGCAGTTGTGACCCCAGGTGCTGGTGCGGACTCCCTGCAGCAGGACTATCATTGCTTTAGTCTTGCAGCTGGAGGGCCAATGGATAGGGATCTTAGGTATCTTGGATCAGGGACTGCCAGTGTAGAGGTTTCCCTAGCTTCCTTCCATAGCTTCCATGGGATCCAGGAAGATTGAAAATTGTCAAGGTGGAGAGAACAAAGGATCCTGTTCTTTCCCTGAGCAGGTGAAGGAAGTGCATCTCTGGCCATGGATGGTGGAAACGCCCAACACAAAGTCAAGCTGGCACCATCACTGAACCTCAAGTTCAGTATCTGGGCTCGGCTGTCTAGCCAGCAAAACTCAGAGATCCCGTCACTCACACTGGGTTCCAAGTGCACAGCCACCATGCCTGCTTTTTGCATGAGTGCTGGGGATTGGTCATTTCACTCCAGACACATACACATTTTTAAACACTATGAAGTTTAATAGCTTGATTCCAAGAACATAGAAAAGTGAATTAAGAAAATAATGCTTCTCTTTCTTCGTGAGAATGTTGACAATGACCATCAGACACACAACCAAAACTGACTTTTGCGAAGGGTTTTGTATGGGTGAAAATAAGATTTTAAGGCAGGTGAACATTCAGTACAAACAAGAACATTCAATGTTTTACACTCAAACTTCACAGCACCTTGTCTCAAGAAGGCACCCACATGTTGCCATGTGTATCAGGTGCTTTGACATAAGGAATGTTCCAAATCCATGGCCGATCTGGGGAGAAAGCACATCACATGACGTTGGTTTGGATAGTACCAAAGACCCTATCTACTGGGATCAAAGCATTTGGTGCTCAGATCTCCAAGTTGTTAAGAAAATTTTCTGACTCAGTCCCCGATGATGTCACCTACAGACAATGGCTTTGGGAAAGGCTCATATTGGAACTGAAGGTTAGATGAGCAGACCAGGGGGACAGACCAGGAGAAAGCTGGATGAAGCCATGTAGCTGCACGCTCTAGCACCTGGCACATAACAAAGACATAATGTATAGCAGTTACCTGCCCCACTCTCCTTTCCTGTGCACGTGGTGTGCAGAGGTCAAGGATTAACTTTGGGCATCTTCATTGCTACGTTTCACTTCATTTTCTGAGACAAGGTCTTATTGAATTTAGCTCACTACTGGGTGAGGAGGACTAGCCAGAAACCCCAGGGATCCTGTCACTCACACTGGGGATACGGGTACAAGCCACTACGGTCATTTTTTATAAAGTATATACAGCAAACACTTCACCCACTGAACCATCTCTTTGTCCCTTTCTTCTTTTAGGACGCTGAAGAAAAGACAGCAGCAGTTGGTACGTTTCTGCTCTCAGCTGGCCACATTTAACCAAGAGGTCTTGGGTCACACGCATAGATGCGTAAGTGACTGAAGACCAATGTCATAGAAACAACAGGTCTGGGTCTGTACTCTGGCAAGAATGCCTGCGAAGCCTCCTAGCACAACGAGGAGGTTCACTAAATGGATTTCCTCTGAACACACACACATACACACACGCACACACACGCACACACGCACGCACACACCTGAGGTTGACACTGGAAGTCTTACACAGTCATTCTCCATCTTATTCACTGAGGCAGGTTCTCCCAGTTGAACCCGGAGCTTGTCAATACAGCTATCTGACTGGCCAGCTTACTGTGGCAATCCCACCACCTTCTGACCAACAATTACAAGTGGGTCACCAGGTTCATCTGATGGTTATGTGGGTTCTGGGGGTTCAAACTCCAGTCCTCATGCTTGTATGCCCAGTGCTTTAACCACTAATAAGCCAGTCTCATTGATGTTCTAAACTAAAACTGAGACCTTCAACAAACCACTCTTACAACGTAGCGCTGTGGCTAGAGTCAGACCATTTCAAAAGAACCAGGAGACGGGCAAGGTGTAGATGCATCCCAGGTTAAAAGCAAATCCCCATCACTGACTGTCTCAGGAAGTAATACAAACCAACGGACTTTTAGGGCCACAGTGCATATTGTAAACAGATTGACACCATCCTAAGGATGGCATCCTAAGGACTGCCAGGCAGTGACCCAGCACTGCAAACCTGACTCTGGAAACCTTTCCCCTTCTCAACAGAAGTGATGGCAGCTCAGAGGTCGGTTTGTCTGTGCTGAGCCCTCTCATGCAAGCACTCCAAAAGTCACACACCGAAGGATCTGAAGGAGTTCTGAAGACGGCAGCACATTATCCTAACGTCCTTGTTGTCTTAGGCCTTGAAAGCCCAGCACCAAACCCTTTCTTGTTACCTCACCAAGCTTGTTGGAGTGTGGCAACCCCAGGGTCTGGGGGCAATGGCCTTGGACCTGACTTCCACTCTATCTGTACCCCTTTCTCTCACTGGAAACACCACCGTCTGTGCCTGGATCCGTTACACGCACATCTTTTCCACACGCTCTGGGGTGAGGCCTGGCAGGATACAGACTTGCTAACCCGCCAGCTAACCCTCCCTCAGCATCAGGCAACAGTGTAAGAAAGGCCTGGGGAGCTCCCTGTTGGTGGATGCCCTGCAGCAGACCACCAGCATCCTTGGGCGGATCATTTCCTGCTCTGGCTGACAGATCTGCTACCACCTTCAGAGACAGAGAAACAGCCACAGGGAGAGGAGGGTAGCCAGGATACTACTGTATCTTTATAACAGCGACGACCAGAAATCCACACTGATACTCGCTGGCTTAGAGATAACCTGTTTTAAACAAACCTCTAAAATCCTCTAAAAAACGTCTCAGAAGAGTGTGCCATGTAACCTACGCACACATGCATTTGGAACAGGTTCTTGAGTGCTGGCTAGGTGCCAGGGGCTTCCTAGGTGCCACAGATAGAAAGGAGGCGAGCCAGATGTGTGAGCCCATTTGGGGGAACTTACTCCCAAAGTGGGAGACAGTAAAGGAGGTGGTCGTATGTAGTTGTCACTGTGTCTATGGTTGGTTCCCTAGCCTGGTTGGTAAGAGCCTCCTTTGACAGCGTGTTAGAGTAAGATCCTTCCAGGCCCCAGAAAGCTCACCTTGGAGGGTCTGTACTGGGGACCAGCAATGTGTTCTTGGATTAAATTCCAAAGCTAACCTCAAGCCAGTTGGAGCTTAGGATCCAAGGCTGAAGGATCCTAGACTATAATGGAAACAGCAGAGGGACATAGCGGGTCTTCATGCAGGGGATGCAGAACTGCTTGTGGTTAGAGGAGAGAGACCAGGAAGATGAATAAGAAGGCAGGTCTGGAGGTGAGGAATGAGGAAGCCTATGCTTCTGCAAAGTGTAAATGCCACGAAACACCCACCACTGTGGATCTGTCCCCTGTTAATGGAGACTAAAAGCAGGATAAACAAACACAGCATGCACCCTGGGCTTTCCATTTCGCTCTAAGAAGTGTGAATGTATTTTGCCCAGGAAAAGCCGAGACTCCATCTGCAATGCTGACCCTGATAATGACATTGTGCTTGTGGAAGAAAATGCCTTTATCTTCAGGAACTATATACTGAAATATTTAGGGAAAAGATACATGTCTTCAAATTTAAACTGTGAGAAAGGATGCGAGCGGAAGAAAATACTGACTTGCTGATCCCCGGGGGGAGCACAGGGAACTCTTGTGCTGTGCTCTTCTTGTTCTTTTCTGTGAATCCACAAGGATGTCAACAATTTGAAAGAAGAATACTACATATGTTAAAAAGTACCTTGTTACTCTTTAAATAGAGAGGAATAGGAGGACACAGGTGTGTGTGATGGAGGAAAGGGGAAATACAAATACAAAGGGAGAAGCGAGGAAGGAGGGGTAATAATACTAAGGGTGTTTAACAAAGCCATAAGGAGATATATTATTTTATAAGCTTACTTAAAATTATATACATGTGTGTATAATACAATTTATGTGAAAACACACACATAGACATGAACACACACACACACACACACACACACACACACACGAACACACACACACAGAGTTTAAATGGAGTTACCTGGCACAGAATGATCAGAACCACAGGCTTTTTAACAACAACCCCAGTGCCAGGCAAGGGACACCATCCATTGGGTTGCCGTCAGGGGGGGTCCAAGAGTTCTCCAAAACAATATAGGCAATGGCTGAGGAGGGACCAAGGGGGTGAGGAGGGAGGGAGAATTGGTTTCTCTAGGGATGAGCCCTCCTAACAGATTTCTTAATCCTAAACAGTTATCCTTAAATATAATATACTACTAACTAGACTCAGTAGTGAGTGAGTGTGTGTAACTAATAATTACAGAAGAGGTCATGAACCTAGAGGGGCTGGGGGGAGGGGACGAAGGGAAGATTAAGGGGTGAAAATGGTTTAAATACAGTGTTTTTATATATGAATTTCTCAAAAAAGCTACTATTATAGTGAGTGTTTTAGAAGCTTCGCATGCTTACCTACCTACTCCTTAAACGCAACACAAGCCTCTTCTTACCACTGTGATTGCTTCTCTTTCTTCTTTCTCTTCTTTGTTCCTTCCAGTGCTGAGGATCCAGCCCCAGGGTCTCACACATACACTCAACATTGAACTGAGGCACATCTCTGGCTTTCAACACTTATTAGGTCAAAGTAAGACAGGCTTTTCTCCAACTTTCTCACACTTTGCTCTTTAATATATGATACAAAGAATATCTGCTTTTTTTTTTTTTAAGGAAAAACTTTAAAGGAAGTTCACAGCAGAGATGGAACGGTGACGTTTTTGCATTCTCTTCAAACTCAAGGTCAGCATGGGATAGACGGCACTACCATTTTAAGGTTTCAAGGGGTTGGTGATTTGTTCTCAAGGAGACCATGGGTTCCCTTTTACACACATCCTTGCCAGCACTTTCTATGCTACACTGCTGGTGGGAATGTAAACTATATGGACTGTAAAGAAGTGTCTCAAAAACCTACAAAGAGATCTACCGTATGACCCAGCTACACTGCTCCTGGCTGATTTCCCCAAAGGACTCCACCACACATCACAGAGACTCTTGTATACCATGACACTGCAGCACTATTCAGAGTGACTCAGTTACAGAACCAATCTGGTGTCTACCCACAGAGGAATGGTTACAGAGAATGTCACATGTATATAATAGAAACATTTAGGCCACTAACAAGAATGAAGTTATGCTGGCTTCAGGAAAAGGGAATTATGTCAACAGAATCAAGCCAGTCTCAGAAAGACAAATACGCTTTCTTTCATGTGGCTCCTAGAATTTTATATACGCATACCACACCATTTATACCAGGGAGAAAAGAAGCAATCTGGGGACACAAAAGAAACTAATGGGAGTGTGTGTGTGTGGGGGGGTGTGGGAAGATAAGAAGGGAGAAGGAATAGAAGAATAAGTTCAACAAAAAATATATATATAAACATATTTAAATATATTAAGTATATTTAAATATATATATATATATATATATATATATATATATATATATATATATATAAATCTATATATGTATAAAGATTTAAAAACCTACAGAGCTGGGTATCTGCCCCACACATGCTAGCCCTGGGTTCTAACCCTGGCATGGGAAGGAAGAAATAACTTTACAAACACCATTTCTATTATTAAAACAGATTTATCTAAACACTTTTCAGAAGAGTAAGCTAAACGTGATGAGGGTGAGGACTCATCTGTCCTTTTCAGCCAGCGTTCAAGTAGTGGTGCTCGCACACAGTAGGTTTGCTATTATGTAACTGCCGACGGCCACCCAAAGCCAGGCACCCCAGGATTCGAGTGTTAACTTTCGTCATTTTCTCTGATCATTTTCTTTGTTCCAAGATAACATCTGGCCAGGTTTTCACAGTGGGATACTCCTGCACTAAGCTCTTGGTGTGAACCTCTGATTTCAAAAAAAAAAAAAAAAAAAGGAATGAGACATTGTATGTGTTGCCATGGTTCAAAAATCACTTTTAAACATGAAGTGCTTTTGAAATGGTCTTAACAACCCATTTTCCCTTGCCTCAGTAAAACACCTCTGTACGGGTCACAGCTTTGCAGAACACTGGCTGGATTTGAAAGGTAATATCTGAATTACCAGCATTATTCTACACACCGCTGAAGGAATGCAGGAGATAAAATAATACTGATAAAACAAAATGTTCCAATTTCTTTTATAAGTATCTTTCAAAGAAAAAGCCTAAGAAACAAAAAATCCAACAAATTACTGTATAAAGCATCTGCTGGCTGGTCAAATGATAGAGATCTAACTTTCTGCCGTCTAGGATAATGCCTACTACGGGCAAACTTCTGAGTTGTTAGGACTTGTTCCTAATAGAGGGGAAGGGACTTCAGGACATTTTCTGGCTCTGTGATCTCTCCCATTCTTGTTTTCCTGCTCCTCTGGAGACAAGGACTACTGGATGGGGCTGGAATCCAGCCACGGCTGGGGAAGGCAAGGCTCAGGGTCAGACTCTAGCAGGCAAGACCCAAAGCCACCGTCCTAGGCCATTCTTCTCTAGAACTCAATGACTTAAAGAGAAAAGGGAGTGGAGATGAAGAAAAGAGAAAGGAAAGACAGAAATGTAGCATGAAAGGCGCTGCTCAGGAAGGACAGGGGTGGGGGTCACACTAGCTCACTGTCCAGTGTGCACGGAAGTAGACTAACCTTGTAATAAGGGCAGTTACAATAAATCCAGCCAACGTCTACCGACTGCTAGCTGACTAGGGACCGTGCTAAGCAACTTCATCTTGGTTAGTTTTCTCAATAGCCCCGCAGGAGACATGGGCATTCCCCATTTTGCCTTTAGACACACAGGTCTAAAAGTCGACTGCCCAAGGCCACCTAGTAAGCTGGACAGTTGGCACATAAATAAGTTATTTTGAATCATGCACTCCCCTTTTAAGTTTTATTTGGGTGGAGGCTAAGGTAGTTACATTCTGTGAAATCCTGGTTAAAAATCTATGTAAACGTAACCTTGCTGTTAGGATGAATATGGATGACATACAAACTCTGCACGCTTAACAGAAGAGTCATCCTTGTAACCGTAAACAGCTAGAGAGAGGCAATGTCACCTGCAGGCTGTGGGACGGCATGCTGGAAGCAGGACACAGGTCTTTGTCCCCACATGTCAACACAATCCTGAAAAATGGGTTCACTAGATAGGGAATTTTGGTTTACCGAGAAAGTCCTAAAAGGAGATAGAGGGCGGAGAATTTGCCAGACCCAGTTGGCAGTGCTGTGGGAAGACGGGCTGCCTTGACTCCATCCAGGAACTGAAGACTGTGGACTATTGATGGAGTGATGTCATTAAAACCTTCCCACCAGAAAGTATTCCCCGCTCAGACTTAGCACAGTTGCACATTCCTGGCTGCTCACGGAGATACCTGTTTCCCAGAGAACGTAAGCTATGACTGGATAGTAAGCGCTTGGCATTTGAAGTTGGAAACTACATCTCCACGGCCCTGGACCCACCTCACAGACTAACATCCCTGGGGTGATAGCAGCTGCTCAGCAGCCTATGATGGATGCTCAGCAGCCTGGGGTGATGCCTGGCCTGGAGGAAGATGTCTGACCCTGTAGATCAGGGGTTCTCAACCTTTCTAATGCTGTGACCCTTTTCATTCCTCATGCTGTGGTAACCCAAACCATAAAATCATTTCATTGCTACTTCATAACTGCAATTTGTCACCGTTATAAATTGTAATGTACACATAATTGTAATTTTGCTTCTGTTATGAATTGTAATGTACATATCTGATATGCAGCGTATCTGATACGGGCCCTCGAGGGAGTCATGACCCACAGGTTGAGAATTGCTGCTGTAGACAGTCCTGTGCTTTTCTACTGGGAAGTATACTTGGTCATAACCTCTAGGGAAGTGAAGAGTCCAGTGCAGCAGGTTTCAAAGTATGGCCTAGTGACCTCTCTTGGGGGGTGTGGCTGTGAATCAAATTTATTTCACAGTGACATAATACCATCATGTTATCCTCACTTTTATGTTAGTGTGTAGAGCTACATACGCAGTGACATCAGGACAGACCAAATGAGGGCTCAGCAGTCAGCTGTTAAGCTGCACACTAACTAAAGATGCTCTTGAAGACATGAGATGATCCCACCCCCGTCCCTACGTGTGTCCTTTGGTTTTGGAACTGGCCACGAAACATATTACAATGGTTTATTATTTTAAAACTAATAAATCAACACCTATTTAAACATTTTCCAGCTTTGTGCTGTAGAGCAGGCTGGCCTTGAACTCACAGAGATCCACCTGCCTCTGCTTCTCGAATACTGGGATTAAAGGTGTGCACCACCACCACCCATTTTCCAGTTTTGTTTCCATTATAGGGCGCGCGCGCGCGCGCACACACACACACACACACACACACATATATACAGCTCACATAAAGCTCTTTAGGATTCTTAATAACTGAGTGCAAATGGGTTCTCAGAGAACCACATGACTCGAGAGGCCCCAGAGAGGGAAGGAAGAATCCTCTCAAGTCTGAACTTCCAGAGTTCCCGGGAGCCAGGCTCACACGGAGACCAGGGGCACCTCCTGGGTTACTTTCTGCCAGTGTGGTACACTGGCCTGTGTCCCTTCATCTGTATCTCACCTTTACTCCCATAGAGCTCTGGGGGCAGGTCATAGGGCACAGGAAAGGAGGTCATTGGCTCACAGTTGCTGGAGAAGAATTTCTGTTTCACATTGAAGGTGTCCAGGCCCTGCAGGCACACAGAGAGAGGATATGACTGATTTTTTTTCTATATCAGCTAGAAGATCCTAAGAAGTAATTTCTTTTTATGATACCCACAAGAATATTAAGTGATTCCAGAGCTATTTTCAACATTGGCTAGGCAAGAATGCTCTATAACCCTTCCCCCTAAATTATTTTCTTTTGTAAAACCAAGAGAGGCTGAACGTAAGAATGAAGTTAAAAACCTGTGAGTTTAACAAGGCACACAGGAAATAAGAGAAACAGTAACGGGTGTGAGCCGGTTTCTACCAAGTACCCCATATAATTGGCAGGGGGTTTGCAGGACTCCCTGGATGAAAACATCCCAGAATACTTTCAATATTGTAAGTGGAGACTGCTCATTCGTTTCCCTGCTGCCCAGACCCGAATAATCACACAGAAACTATATTAATTACAACACTGATTGGCCAATGGCTCAATCAGCTTAGCTAGCGTTTATATCTTAAATTAACCCATTTCCATTAATCTATGTATCACCACGAGGCTGTGGCCTTCTGGTAAGGTTCTGGCATCTTTCTCCTACATAGCATCTCTTTGACTCTACCTACTCTCTCTATCTCTGTTCTGATTTCTGTCTGGCTTTACTCTGCTAAGCTATTGGCCGAAACAGCTTTATTCATCAACCAATAAAAGCAACACATATACAGAAGGACTTCCCACACCCCAATATTGCTATAGTAATAGACTGCCTGCTCTGGAGTAAGTAGCATAGGAATATAAAAGTGAAGACCCTTCACGCCCTACCAAAATGGAAGGCTCCTTCTGAGAACGCTAGACAGAGAGTTAATCTCCACTCAAGAAGGGGAGCATCTGCTTCCAGGCTGCTGTGCACACTGCCTTTCCTTCTCACAGGCCTGGGCCTAACACATTAGAGCCGCCTCTCAGGGGATCCCTGGATCATTCTGGCGCCATGCTTTTTAGACTATTCCACTGTCCTTTATTCCTATGGTCCACCACCCAAACACATCCATATTCTAAATGCATGGCAAACAGTGCTAATGTCCTAGGAGCTGGCAAAAGAACAATGGCAGGCTCTCAGTACCCAGTGTGTGTGTGTGTGTGGGTGTGTGTGTGTGCGGTCATGTGTGTGTGTGTGTGTGTGTGTCAAAGACACTGTGGGAGGGCATGGCAGTCACACAGTGGCTTCAGACACTCTTGCATTCTAGCCTTTGTTCTGGTATTCACTAAGCCATGTGAATGACTGATATAAGCAATCATTCATTCAAAATACTGTCTCTGAAGCTGAAGCTAGGGAAGAGCTCCCGAGAGTGCATGGTAACTGCACTTAATACTTGTAACTTTGTAGCATTTCTGCTTCCTTACCCCTTCAGTGGGCTTATGTGCACAACAGGAGACTGAAAGGGAAAGTGCTGACCACAACCCCACCCAGGGAAAACAGGAAGAATGAGTGTGCACACACAACAAAGAACAGCACAGCCATGAAGCCATGATGCCACTGGCCCAGCTTCCTCCAGCATAAAGCTGGAATTGTATCCATCAGGACAAGTTCCACAACACATGTGAACATACATATGTGAACACACAATAAGCTCTGCTCCATGGTCTGCCTTTTACCTTCTCCTTGGAAATTCCCTTCCTCTATGGTGAAGTCCAGATCCCCAGATCCTACATAAGCCTATACTACTTTGTCCTTGGGGAACTTGGGAACTTTTGTTTATGTGACTGCCTAGGTCCTTTCTGTCTGATGTGAGCCTGACTTGGAGTTCCTATTGTCATCCCTCTGAGGACCCGAGGTTGACAGACTGGTACCAAGCTCTGGCTATACATAGATCAACAAATCATCATTCCTGTCCTTACGGAATGCACAGTGTGGACTGGAGGTGCTAAGCATAGATTTGTCGAGAGGTCTAACAAATGATTGTGGTAAGTGCTGTGCAGAAGTCTTGGAGTACTATTGCAAGAAAAGGGACTGCTTTCGACAGAGGGGTGATACTGTGATCTAACTGAGAGATGAGTGAGGTTTGCAGGTAAGCGTCGAAAGAACAACATTGCAGGAGGGGGAACAGCAGCTTGAGGTCTGGAGTGGCTAAGGTTTGCCATGTTCTGGGCCCTAAGAAAGATGATCAATGTGACAACATTAAGTCTCAGTTTCTTCATTGGTCAAAGGAGGTGGCCATTCTTCATATGAATGTCTGTCTTAGTTTGGTTTCTATTTTCTATAAAGACCAGGACCAGGTAACTTGAGGAAGAAAGGGTTTATTTCATCTAATAGTGCACAGTTTACCTTGAGGTGAGTCAGGGCAGGGACTTAGAGGCAGGAACTGAAGTAGAGGCCATGAGTGGATGCTGCTCACCGGCTTGTTTCTGTGGCCTCTTAGTCTGTTTTCTTATACACCCCAGGACCACCTGCCTAGGGTTTGTAGCACCCACAGTGAGCTGGGCCCTATGTCAGCAATCATTAGTTAAGAAAATGCCCCACAGACTTGCCTTTAGGCCAAACTGGTGGAGGCATTTTCTCAGTTGAGGTTCCCTCTTCCCAGATGACTCTAGCTTGTGTTAGGCTGACAACCAACCAACTTGTGCAGCATTTCAACCTTCAGTCCCCAGGACAAGTCCTGCGGCACAGTGGGTATTCAAGAAACACTGAGCTGCAGGCATGAGAGTAAAGGGCTTGCCCTGCCTGCTTTATTGGCTTCTGCAGAGCAGGAGCTGTGGTAACACACGGGAAAGTGTCTTGTGCACATTAAGAACTGCAGAAGAGAGCTGGAGATGCAGCTCAGGGGTAGACAACTTTCCTCACATGTACAATGCCCTGGGCTCAATCGTCAGCACTGCAGGAACACAAACCATAAGGGCCTGCAGGCAGGTATGAGGTTACAGCAGTGGCAGAGATGCTGATAGTGAAAGGCAGTGTACGACACAGACCTGGCAGAAATGCTACACAAAAAAGGAAGAATGACTCACGTCTGTGGCAGGCTAAGGAGAGGCTTTACAGAGAACAGTGTTTTAGCTGGGTTTTGACAAACAGCCATGCCAAGGAAGAATACCAGGGGAGAGAGCAATACATTCAAGCGTGGGTTGGAAGAGCTCAGAGACGACACATTTCAGGTGCTGAGTGTGCATGCACATGTGTGTGTGTGTGTGTGTGTGTGTGTGTGTAGGAACACTTCTCTACATGAGGGGAGATGTGGACATCTGTGCTTTGTCCCTGTTAAGCCAGGTATGTTATGTTGTTAGTAATGACTCAGGCATGAGTCAGTCTGGAGGTGTTGGGGGAGATGGAGACATCTTGTTGCTGGGAGCTCTCGTGTCCATCAGCTGGAGATGTCGGAACACTGAAGCCCTGCCTTGAAGCCAAGAGCTCACCATCTATGCTCAACCTTGTGGCTTATTCTTGTTTGAGTTGACTGCCCATCACTCATACCCAGTAGTCCCTCAGGGGTCCAGCTGGAGTCTGACTTTCTCATTAGCAGACAGTAAGGAGCTGCTGAGGGTTTGAAGGAGATGCCTCATTGGTGAGGTAGTTGGAACGGCTTAGGTTATCGACTGGAGATTGCTCGGCCAGGCGATCATGGGTTCTCCCGACAGAAGCAGGAGGTGGACTTGGTGATGGGAGACACAGTATCAGAACTGCATGAGACTGACGCAGGGCACAGGAACGAGCGAGTCTAACTGTGACAGCCGGTGTGCTCTGTGCCAGTGACCAGCTTGCACAGCTGTCCACAGCCCGTCTTTGGGATTTGAGGTCCTATGCTCTTTCCACTATGCAAAGACTCGATCTTATATTTGCCACTGAGAACCAGAAAAATGGAAACTCTTGCATTGTGTGAGAGCCTTATCTCCTAGACTCACCATCATCTCTGCCAGCCACAAAGCCGTGGGAGTCTTTATGGCCTCGACCCAGTTGTGATGCCCTACGCGTTCCAAGCCTGGCTTCCCTCTTCCAATGTCTGACCTCAGACATAAGAACATTTGAACCATCCATGTCTGACAAGAACCAATATGCTTTTTTCTTGAATGCCATTTCTGATTCAAATTCTAGGGTATTAAGAAAAAAGTACCACTTTTCCCTTCAATCTGCATGTCAAATTATTTGAGGCTGTCTTCTAATTATCATTATTTATATATCACAGTGGTATTGCTTGGCATTTTACAAAACAGAGGAAGGCACCCTCCTAGGCATAGATACTTAAGACAGCTAAGACAATGCATCTGAGAAACACCAGGTGAGAGGGTGGACATGAATCACGTATGACAAATTGCTGGCTCCCCCACCCCCTCAGCTGGGAGAACGAAAGCACTAGTTATTGCTGGGATCATTTAGGCTCAGCGGCTTGACTCAATCAGAAAGAAGTCCGCTCAGCGCACAGTCGCAGATGGGGCTTTACTGTGTTAGCGGCACGTGCTTGTATAGCAAGCTTGTATGTAAAACTACATGACACACTGTTTTTTTTTTGTTTTTGTTTTCCCTTAGAGGTGTAGTCCTGCCTGACAGAAGTTTTTATATAGACAAGGTTGGCCTTGAACGCACAGAGAGCCAAGGTACTGGGTTTTCCTGGGATAGCAGCTAAGTTTGCCAGGAGAAGCCAGGAGCAAGCCTACTTATCAGGTAGGTTAATTGGTTAAGGAAGGGAATCACAGAGAGGGAGTAGCCTTTCCTACCCCGTCCCCGAGATGCTTGCAGCCAGGGCTTGGGGAAAGCTCACGGAGTGGGCACACCAACAGGGCTCTGGTAGCTAAAGGGCTGTCGGTGAAAGTAGGTTGGGGCAAAGAGGATCCATGCAACATCATAGGATTGGCATCAAGACGGTGATCTGGCTGAAAGCCTAGAGGACTGGTCTCTGCCTTCGACTCTGAGGTTTGTGCTGCTCCCATCTCCAGCAGCAGCCTTTGCAAGTCTCGGGGGAACAAGCAGGCTTGTTTCAAACCCTTTGCAGGCTCAGCTTTGAATTCTCATGTGACTCTGAACTTGCTACTTGTGTCTCCACCACAGGACAGGCTTACGTG